TGTATGTGTGTGTGTATATGTGTGTGTGTGTGTATGTGTGTGTGTATATGTGTGTGTGTGTGTATGTGTATGTGTGTGTGTGTGTGTGTGTGTGTATGTGTGTGTATGTATGTATGTGTATGTATATATGTGTATATGTATGTGTATATGTATGCATGTGTATATATATATGTATACATGTACAGTATATATGTATATATGTGTAAAAGTGTATATATATGTGTGTATATATGTATGTGTATATATATATACAGGTGCTGGTCATATAATTAGAATATCATCAAAAAGTTGATTTATTTCACTAATTCCATTAAAAAAGTGAAACTTGTCTATTATATTCATTCATTACACACAGACTGATATATTTCAAATGTTTATTTCTTTTAATTTTGATGATTATAACTGACAACTAAGGAAAATCCCAAATTCAGTATCTCAGAAAATTAGAATATTGTGAAAAGGTTCAATATTGAAGAGACCTGGTGCCACACTCTAATCAGCTAATGAACTCAAAACACCTGCAAAGGCCTTTAAATGGTCTCTCAGTCTAGTTCTGTAGGCTACACAATCATGGGGAAGACTGCTGACTTGACAGTTGTCCAAAAGACGACCATTGACACCTTGCACAAGGAGGGCAAGACACAAAAGGTCATTGCAAAAGAGGCTGGCTGTTCACAGAGCTCTGTGTCCAAGCACATTAATAGAGAGGTGAAGGGAAGGAAAAGATGTGGTAGAAAAAAGTGTACAAGCAATAGGGATAACCGCACCCTGGAGAGGATTGTGAAACAAAACCCATTCAAAAATGTGGGGGAGATTCAGAAAGAGTGGACTGCAGCTGGAGTCAGTGCTTCAAGAACCACTACGCACAGACGTATGCAAGACATGGGTTTCAGCTGTCACATTCCTTGTGTCAAGCCACTCTTGAACAACAGACAGCGTCAGAAGCGTCTCGCCTGGGCTAAAGACAAAAAGGACTGGACTGCTGCTGAGTGGTCCAAAGTTATGTTCTCTGATGAAAGTAAATTTTGCATTTCCTTTGGAAATCAGGGTCCCAGAGTCTGGAGGAAGAGAGGAGAGACACACAATCCACGTTGCTTGAGGTCCAGTGTAAAGTTTCCACAGTCAGTGATGGTTTTGGGTGCCATGTCATCTGCTGGTGGTGGTCCACTGTGTTTTCTGAGGTCCAAGGTCAACGCAGCCGTATACCAGGACGTTTTAGAGCACTTCATGCTTCCTGCTGCTGACCAACTTTATGGAGATGCAGATTTCATTTTCCAACAGGACTTGGCACCTGCACACAGTGCCAAAGCAACCAGTACCTGGTTTAAGGACCACGGTATCCCTGTTCTTAATTGGCCAGCAAACTCGCCTGACCTTAACCCCATCGAAAATCTATGGGGTATTGTGAAGAGGATGATGCGAAATGCCAGACCCAACAATGCAGAAGAGCTGAAGGCCACTATCAGAGCAACCTGGGCTCTCATAACACCTGAGCAGTGCCACAGACTGATCGACTCCATGCCACGCCGCATTGCTGCAGTAATTCAGGCAAAAGGAGCCCCAACTAAGTATTGAGTGCTGTACATGCTCATACTTTTCAGTTGGCCAAGATTTCTAAAAATCCTTTCTTTGTATTGGTCTTAAGTAATATTCTAATTTTCTGAGATACTGAATTTGGGATTTTCCTTAGTTGTCAGTTATAATCATCAAAATTAAAAGAAATAAACATTTGAAATATATCAGTCTGTGTGTAATGAATGAATATAATAGACAAGTTTCACTTTTTGAATGGAATTAGTGGAATAAATCAACTTTTTGATGATATTCTAATTATATGACCAGCACCTGTATATATGTGTATGTATATATATGTGTATATATGTGTGTATATATATATATATATATATATAGTATATAATGATTTGGCTGCTTCCTGAACTGTTCCTGCTTGCCTCCGTGCTCTCATTGATTGTTACTCAGTTACTTTTTTGACTCCTGTATTATTTTTTGTTCTAGCTAGTAAATTCATACACATACGTAAATACAATAAAGACTAAAATACATTTGTTCTAGTTATACATTGGTTGTACCGCCTGACATGGAAAGTGTACCAGCCTACAAATTAAAGGTAGCTATTTTTATCAATATTTGAAAGAGATCTAAAAACATTTTCACTCTGCCATAAAGGTCAGTTGAGGTCCTCTTGATGATGCAATATCCTGTTAACTGTCCTGCACTTTAATTTTATAATAAAAGTCCCATCTTTACAGTTGCGCCACCCTGACATTTGACAACATTCAAATTAGTGGACAAAAGATTTATAATGATCTCAATTACTTTAAACTATAGGTATTTGTTAAATTTTGTTTATTGGAAAGATTTCAACCATGAAATCATGCCATTGTATTATTTTGAATTTATAATCATGAAAATACAATTTTTAAATCGTTTTCTTAGTCTGTACATTTGCTCGGTGGCGCCGCCGGACATATTCAGGGTTTGAGATGCCAAAACATAAAAAAACTAGTGCTGGGCAACGATTACAATTTTTAAAAGCGATTAATTGCATTGTTATGCGCAAAGTTCAATAATGAATTCAAAAGTAGTGTATTGCACACTTTTATTTTAAAAGTACTGCTATATGAACAAAAGGGCAATAACATTTGGTTTAAACACTTTAAACACATCAGGTTCTTGTTAACAGCAGTATTCCCTTTACACAGCAGCAGTTATAACACAGTTATAATGATTCTGATCATAGATAATCAGCCGGTGTTCACAACTTTATCTTCATGTATGTAAGAGATGCAATCTAAATATACACCTTGAAAACTGCAAACCTATCTACGTCTTGTTTTTGTTAAAGTCTCAGTAACAACTAAATGATGCTTATTATACATATTACAAACAAAACACTTTAAAAACTCAAACAAAATAATTTTCTTTTCTTTTTTGCTTTTTTTGGTAGTGTGGTCAGACACATATCCAACGCTGATTACCGTAATATGTGTGGTATTTGTTATAAATGTACGTTGGTACATAGAGGGCGATAAGAAGCTGTACTTGGAGGGACCCAGGGGAATGTAGGTGAAGCATGGGAACCTGGAGGGAGTCTGTACCGTGGCAGTAACGGCAGCGGCAGCAGGGAGTGACGCCACACAAACAGCTGTTCACCGCTCGCTGCCCGGTTCTTGTGTTAAAAATGTCCGCTTAATAATCATTTAAAAAACTGCGTTAATGCACGAGAAAATAATTGTCGGCGTTAATTAATGAATGCATTAACGCGATAACGCGTTAACTTGCCCAGCACTAAAAAAAAAATATTATTTGAATGTATTCAACTCAATAGGTTTTATTGAATAAAATGATCAAATAGTTTAAAAAGGAAATAATGGACTCGAACACTAAAATGTGAATGTCATGTCACTGACCCCAATATATCTGACTTGTCTGAAAAAGAGTAGGAAGAAATATATGCTTATATGATCCTACCTCTTCTCCATAACTCGCATATCTACTCAGTATTATCATAACTTCTGTGACTTGTAGCCTATATTTCTTTTCTCATTTGAATTCAACCCATGGTAATGATGCAATATATTCTACACCGGGTTGTCTACATGTCCTGCTATGATGAGTCCAAATGTCTGCTGTGACAAAGGTCTATTGTAGGGGTATGTATCCGACCAGTCATGATGTAACCGTTACCTATGAGACCTTCAGTTTAGTATGTGGCACCTCACATGAGCCAAACATGTCAGCAGTTCTCACACTGTCCAACACAGTGTTTGTTGTAACCGTAGCACTGTGGCCCCTCCTGGCTTTAGCTCCTGCCAGCACCAGACTATTTCCTCATTGTTTGGTTTTGGAGTGGCTGACCTCATGCTGCAGCAGAGCCATGGGCACATGAGTTGCATAGCAGAGCACGGAGCCAAAAAAATCCCTGAAAATACTGGTGAGCTTCTTCCCTCAGTGGACAGAGCTGTGGGGGGATTCTGTAACACCGTGGAGGGGGCCCTGTTCTTGGTCTAGTAAGTCAAATTGATTTGATTGCGACGTAGATGGCTAACTACAGTAGGTATGATTTTTACAGCGTATTGTAGCCTGTTACAGTGTGCAATCATGACTGTGTGTCAAGTAATATCCTAAAGCAGGACAGCAGAGGAGGCTGAAAAACGGTAGGAAAAAGGGCGGGTTTTAAATCATTGAAAAGGGCTTTATAGAAAGATATATATATATATATATATATATAGAAGAAGTATATATAGCGAAAACTCCACGGAATACCTTTTTATATTTTGTTGATGACAGTACGAACAGGGATGTAGCTTCAAATGCTTATCAACTCTGAATCATGTGGAAAAAAATAATTGGACTCAATTATTTTTTCCTTTGCAGATGAGGACGCCTGTCTGAAGCCACCCAGGTGAAAATGTTCTCAGTGTCAAGAAAAATGTCTTTATTTTATAGATTTCATAGATTGTACTGGTATAATAAAGTGTTGATGCAGTTTATATGGTAAACCCAGGTGGCAACCTCCGGTTCTGCTGAGTGAAGCCAATGAGGAAGTGCCTTACAACCTGCATTCTCTCTACTGTCCACCAGGGGGCGACTCCTCTGGTTGTATAGAAGTCTATGAGAAAATGACTCTACTTCTCTCTTGATTTATTACCTCAGTAAACATTGTAAACATGAGTTTATGGTCTCAATCTCTAGTTTCAAGTCTTCTTCAATACAGCATGATGTTCATTTAGTACATTATGGTCCATTTAGAGTCACACAGACCATAGAGCAGGGGATGCTTTAGGGCGGGGCTACACAGTGATTGACAGGTCGCTGACGCTACCAGAGCTGTATACGGCATCTCTACGTCACGCCTCCACATTCCAAATATGATTACTTCTGTTCATTGGATGCCATAAACAGTGGTCTGCAGTGTTTTAACACCATCTTCTAGTATTGGCTCAGCTTGGAGTGCTGTCCACAACTTTAGCTTCTGGAAAACCAAAAAAAGAGCAAGTTGAGTTGAGCTGGACGGTGCCGTTCGTGAATGTTCATCGCCATCGTGCCCCTTTAGTTTCCCCCCAAAATGATTCCTGAATCAATGTCCCAGCAGGCCAGTACAGTGTGTGTATGTATATGTATATATATGTATATATATACATATATATGTATATATATGTATATGTATATATACAGTATATGTATATATACAGTATATATGTATATGTATATATACAGTATATATGTATATATATGTATATGTATATACATATACACACACACACACACAGGTATCATTAGGCTTAGTGTTGTCTGTAAATAACCAACCTATAAACCGTTTTGATCTTTAGGCTGTAGACGACGCTGTATAAGACCATCTACGCTGATCCGTTTGTCACAAAGTGTCTCTGAAACAGAGAGAGATATTCCTCTTGGATCTTTGACTGCCTGCCTCTGAACATGTGTCTCTATTATAGTGAATCTTTTGTCATGGTGCCGCAAAGAATTGATCTTTAATTGAGATTAAATAGAGTCCATCCTTCATCTGGTGGTGATCAGGCTGTTCACAGGAACTGAAAATATTCATATTCATAATTCACAATCATTTTGGATATATAGAAAAAGTCTACAGAAATGGGCAGATAAAACCTAGCCAAAGGAACAGTCAATACAGTCAATTTGGGCTGACAGAATGATTCAACCGCTGTGCTTCTTTCTCTGTCTGTCTCTCCTCTCCTTCTCTGTCTGTCTCTCTTCAGTGTGACTGTGTGTCTCATGGCTGTCCTCAGACGTGGGCTTGCCGTGGCCCTTCATCGGGTCCTTGAGCGGGGCTGCCACCCCGCACTGCCTGCTTCTCTGCTAGGTAGAGTAACCTGTTGGTGTTGTCCTGGTGTGACTGATGGGTCTCACTCTCTCTGTCTCTTCCACTCTGTTCCTTCACTCTCCCTCTTTGTCCGCGAAAAACAATGCCCGTGGATTTCCCACTTTCATGTCTCGGACGTTTCATTTTTTAGTGGCAGTGGTGCCACTGTGGTCCGCCTGTGGTGTAAAGGTCTGAATCTCTGAACAGGAACGCCTTTAAATGCATATTACATGAGACCAGCATATAGTGTGGATGCATACATTTCTTCCGTTTTACGGCAAAACCGTGATGCAGTCTTTTAGTCAATAAGGACAAAAGAGCAAAACACACAAATACATGGTTGTCCCAGTTCTGTGGGAAGGAACTTGACCGTGACTGCACAGAACCTGCTTCCAGACTAGGTGTCATGTCAGAATATCCTACATCCACATCTTAAACTCATATTCAGGGTGAGCACAGTGCAGCTTTCCCCCTTTAGCAGATGAAGGTGAAAACAGCCTTCTGGTATCAAACTCTCTTCATAATTCTGCACATTGAAGTTCCAATAATTGTTCCTTTACTTGGATGAAGTGAAGGAACAACAAGCAAAGCAAATGTTTGAGTGGAGGGGGGACTTATATACTTATATACATATATACTTATATATGTGCAATGTTGAGGTGTCCACATGCCTCTGTGTATTGTAAATCATAGTGTATTACTTAAGTTCAAGTTGTGTCTTGTTTGTATTTATTTGATTCATTTACACTTTGTTTTGTTTTGGGCAGGCTGTAAAAGGTGTAGAATGTGGACATGTTGTTCTAGTCATGCAAGTCATCTTCCTGTGCGTGTTTGTAGTCGAGACATCAGCCCGATGTCTCCAGACAGCAGCTACAGCCCTGGCTGTATAGGGACACACACAAAGATACTGTTCAGTCCACTTCCTGTGATCCTCTAATATTATATCAGTAAGAACCGCTGTGGAAGCCCCGAGAGGCCAATGAGAAAAACAGGAATTCTTGTGATTTCTCACCATGTATTCATGACGATGTCCTTGTTAACCCTAAAAAGGACAATTTCTTTTATTTCATCTATGAAAAGTGTTTCGAAATTAGTATTACAACAACATACACAACAATAATGTTGCACAAAAACAATGAATGTGTTTGTATTCTGTACAGGGACTTGGATTGTTTCTTAGTACAACTTTTCTTTTGTTTAAATTTTGAGAAATTGAATGAGCATTTTTTTCTTTAAAATTTCCCTGTGACTTAACTGAAAGTCACTGTATATATACACTCACTGGCCACTTTATTAGGCACACCTGTTCAATTGCTTGTTAACACAAATAGCCAATCACATGGCAGCAACTCAATGCATTTAGGCATCTCGACGTGGTGAAGACGACTTGCTGACGTTCAAAGTGAGCATCAGAATAAGGAAGAAAGGGGACTTAAGTGACTTTGAACGTGGCATGGTTGTTGGTGCCAGACGGGCTGGTCTGGGTATTTCAAAAACTGCTGATCTACTGGGATGTTCACACACAACCATCTCTAGGGTTTACAGAGAATGGTCCGAAAAAGAGAAGATATCCAGTGAGCTGCTGTTGTTTGCACCAAGATGCCTTGTTGATGTCAGAGGTCAGAGGAGAATGGGCAGAGTGGATGGAGATGATAGAGAGGCCACAGTAACTCAAATAACCACTCGTTACTACCAAGGTATGCAGAACACATCTCTGAACGCACAACACGTGGAACCTTGAAGCAGACGGGCTACAGCAGCAGAAGACCACACCGGGTGTCACTCCTGTCAGCTAACAGGAAACTGAGGCTATAATTCACACAGGCTCACCAACATGTGACAATAGAAGATTGAAAAACGTTGCCTGGTCTGATGAGTCTCCATTTCAGCTGCGACATTCAGCTGGTAGGGTCACAATGTGTCGTAAACAACATGAAAGCATGGATCCATCCTGCCTTGTATCAACGCTTCAGGCTGCTGGTGGTGGTGTAATGGTGGGGGGATATTTTCTTGGCACACTTTGGGCCCCTTAGTACCAACTGAGCATGGTTTAAATGCCACGGCCTACCTGAGTATTGTTGCTGACCATGTCCATCTCTTTATGGCCACAGTGGACCCATCTTCTGATGCTACTTCCAGCAGGATAGTGCACCATGTCACAAAGCTCAAATCATCTCAAACTGCTTTCTTGAACATGACGATGAGTTCACTGTAGTCCAATGGCCTCCACAGTCACCACATCTCAATCCAGTGCAGCTGACAAATCTGCAGCAACTGCATGATGCTATCATGTCAATATGGAGCAAAATCTGTGAGGAATGTTTCCAACACCTTGTTGAATCTCTGCTACGAACAATTAAAGCAGTTCTGAAGGCAAAAGGGGTCCAACCTGGTACTAGCAAGGTGTACCTAATAAAGTGGCCGGTGAGTGTCGATTGTAACGAAGGAATTAGTTAGTCGTCCAATCAGGATAAAGTATTAATGTTTTCTGTTTTTCTAGGTGTGTGTCCATGTCGAGCATGCCTGTTAAGCAACGTCCTTCAAACTCTGCATTAACAGTGGGAATCCCAAACAGATGCTGATCCGGCACTTTTATTCCTCATCTGGCCTTCGATGGCGTTCAGTATCTTGACCTGTGTTGTCTCTCTCTCCCTCTGCTCCCCTTCCTCCAGCCTAGTCCTTGGTTGTAGCCCTGCTGTGAGGTGTTTGGCTCTACTGGTGGGTGGAGTACCGCTCTCTGTCTCCAGCAGCCATGTCGGGCTTCAACCTGCTGCATCTAATAACCAAGAGCCAGCCTGTAGCTCTGAGGTCCTGCAGTCTTCCCTCAGGTCCACTGACTGGGTGCTGTGTGCCTGCTGTGCTTTGCCTCTCTAAGGCCTTAACACCTGGCTGGTGTGTCAGCATGTCTTTACGTGTCTTTGTGTGTTCAGAATGACGTGAGCTGCTTAGTTCTTTCTCTTACATTAGTCGGTCCTCTCAGGGGTCGCCGATCAGTGAACGATGCTCGAGATCTCCCGAATTGGACCGAATCCAAACAGGGCTGGTAATCGGGCCTCAATTCATTTTTACTAACAATGCTTTGTATTCGCAGTGAGTATCAGAATCGTCCAGGTACTGCAAATATAGCACTGAATGCTCGACTCATTCTTTAATCAGATATTGCCTGATTTTGAAGTTTATATTAGTATATGTATTTCCTTTTTATCTATTCATTTCCCCGCCACATAGAAATCAAATCACAACCCAGAAAACGAAGTGAAGAGGTGTGTTTGTCCAGCAGAGAGCAGCTTAGATCTACCAACACTAAATACAAAGCACTGTCTCACGCTGTGTCTTCATGAGGAGGTAAAGGAGATGTTTCTGCTTTTAACGTGGAGACTCTGTCCATGCCAAAATGAAAAACAAACAGTCACATGTTTCCATGGAAAGTTCTTTTCAGATAAAGACAAAGCTTCCCTTCATTTAACTGACGACAGTCAGTGCTGCATGACTTTAATGCAGCACGGAAAAACAATTCATTCGGTTATTAAATGCTGACACGTACAGACAATCATTCACACGTTCACACCTACCCGAGGAGCAAACGCCTCATTTATACTCATTACTTGAATTTCTTTGTTTGAAATGATTTTATTTAGGCATTTTTAGTCTTCCATAATTATAATAAGTCACGTTTTAGCACATTTACTACACACTTAAACCATCTTGTAAACCATGCTATTGTGTTTAACAAACCTATTGTTCCAGAATCGATCATAGTGAGCTCTGCATTCATTTATTACAAATGATATTAATGTTATGAGGTGATGCACTGCAGACTTTTCACGCTAAACGGCATTTCAAATGCATTATCACAAAGAATGAATGTAACTTTAACAAACGATGCAGACTTGAAATTCAGTTTGATGCTAATTCAAGCTAATTGAATTTCATACTGCTCAGCAATGAATCGAGATGAAAGATGCATCCCACAATCTGTAACAGAGCAACATCAGCATTCATTTGCAGTCATATTTTGTGTCCAATAAATCCCTCTGGAATATGGAGGCACACAACAAGACCCGTTCTGAAAGTAATCCAGATAAGTCGGTAGGCCGTGCTCTTGGAACAGTGCCCTGGTATAGAAGAAAAGCCTTGTGGTGGCACCTGTCCCAAAACTCCCGTAGCATACCGGCACCACCATTTCAATTTTCAAGCCCCACCAAGTCCTGTGCACCTAAATGACTGGTGCCATCACAGCCGACATTTGTGCATGTATGCAAGTATCAGAAGTTTTCTCACAGAAATAAAAAACAAATTCCTCGGTTGTGAGAGGTTCCTGATACTCAAATATCCTTGAAGGGTAACTTTGGTATTTTTCAACCTGGACCCTGTTTTCGAATGGGGACAACACTTTTTTGAAATTGGTCCAGTAGTGTGGGAGAATGCTACAGACAGCAGCTGCAAAACAGTCTGCAATGTAATCATATTATTCTATCCGCACCGTCAATGTACATCCACTAAAAGTGCTTGTTTTTGCCACTGACAGGCTCAGACTGTTAGTCGTTTAACCATCATGGAGAGAGCCCCTATGGAGAAATAAAACCTTTTTCTTGACTTTTAGCTTGATCCCGTCTGTCATTTTGTCCAACCAAGTCTCATTCTAAAATCTTGCGACCTCATCCACACTGTCGAAATCTGCTAAATATTTATCCATGACATTGAAACAACTTTTGAGATTACATGAAGCTTTTTCCACCTTTGTCTTCTGGCAACAAGTCACCTCTTGCAAGATCTCGAAACAAGACTTCTCCTTGAGCGAAACTTGGTGAGACGCAACAGACAAGATCAAGCGAAAGGTAAAGAAAATGTCTCTGTAGGGTTCTTTCCATAATGTTGTCACACACTTATAATAAAAATCTGAGGCTAAAACATCCCTTTTTTTCCAGCCTTGTCCCCAATAATCACTTAAACACAAAAACATGAGAAAAGAGGGTGCAGGTTGAAGATTCAGACGTCACGCTCAAGGCCTCTTAAACAGAAATTCTCAAAGGGTTTTTGAAACTGCTTGGTTTTACATCAGTGTGGGCTCGTGAGGTGCTGGTCTAAGATACAAACATTAGTGCTGTTGGCGGTCCAAAAAATCAGCAGGGTACCTTATTTTTAAATGATTCGTATCTTCTCGAGTTCAGCATCTGTTGAGTTTGTATCTCTACTCACGCTACTTTCTCTGCTTTCTTGCAGCTTGTTGTGGTTCTGTTTGACTTTGCTGTTCATTTTAAAGGACCTTTTTGCTCATAGGTTCTTTTTGTGTTTTGTTTTTGGACAAAAAGAGGATATGTTTATCCTTGCACAGTTAGCATCTGCATGATGAGGCAGGTGGTGATTCGTCATATCTGCGGAGAAAAACCTAAACAGCTCACCACTATCATGTTTATGCTGAACAGCTGGCAGTGACACACACACACACCTCAGGGAAACATCTTTAATTAAAAAGGATCTCTCCCACAGTTCATTCATACATGTATGTTTATTTTTCATTGCCATTATTATACAGTAAGATTATTTATTTTGGCCCACCTGCTTTTATTTCTACTTTATGCTTAAGCATGACGTTGAGTCGAAGGAAGTTTTTACAGTTTTGTTTATAGAAGAATGGCTGGAATTAAGTGAAAGTGTAGTGATGACTCTTTTTCTCTGGTACCATCAGAAGATCTGCGTAGTTAATATTTTTTGTCCCCTCTGATTCTCCCCCTCAGGAGCATGTAGGACTAAAAAGACATGGCCGGTGAGCTTCCCTCAGGAGGAGCTGAAGAAACGCCTCACACCAATGCAGTACCATGTTACCCAGGAGAGAGGAACTGAGGGGTAGGTAGCAACCACCAGCTAAGCATAAGCACTTTATACTAAGTTACATTTTCCAAAAAGTTTTATTAATTCAATATTGCCATGCTACGTTCAACATGGTCATGTCTCGTTCAATGTTCTTGTGTTTTATGAAATCTTCAGATATCTGTTGGGGATTCATTCTTTTTCTCTACATGCATATGTTTTTATTTTTATGAATGCTCAATAAGCTTTTGTCATGAACAGACGCCCCACACTCACCTCCTATAATAGCGTATATCAGTCTACTGTTTTACCTTTCATTTTTTATTCATTCATTTAATGTTAATTTGAGGGACAAAAACAATATACATTGAGAATTGCGCAACAGTTATTTGATGCAATGTATCGCAGCAAATAACACACTTAAATGCTTTATTTTTCATTCCTGTGACATGCCGATATCAGATTTCCACACAGTCAAAGACAAATATATAATATAGAAAATATTTGTTGCTGTACCCTGACAGAACCATGTTGCAAACATAACAATTTATCATTTGTTCATCATGTTTAGCCATTCAATTTTATAAACATTTTCCACAGTGCCTTCACTGGAGGGTTCACACATAAAGATGAGGGGACCTACGCGTGTGTTGTCTGTGGGGCCCAGCTGTTCAGGTAAGAGCTGCACAAGTTCTTAACCCCACTCTCTGTGTGTGTGTGTGTGTGTGTGTGTGTGTGTGTGTGTGTGTGTGTGT